CTAGCAGAGAAATGTTCGATCACGTTGTGCTGATTTGGAATAGTGCCACCAACTTTAGGCCCTATTGGACATCTCATATATATATGGCCAGCTGCTACTTATATTTTATTTATTTATTATTTTAATGTGAAGTGCATAGAAGCTTTTTCTATCATTATGCGCAATACAAAGTGTAACATTTTTTTAATTATTATTATTATTATCCTATTATTATTATTATTATCCTATCGTATTGTTGTTATTATTATTATTACTATCCTATCCTATTGTTGTTGTTGTCGTCGTCGCGGTCGTGTTCGCTGCCGCCGTTATTATAATTGTTATTATTATATTATCACAATACAAGTACAAGTCTATTATAATATTGCTTGGAGGTATTTCGTGTAAAATTTATGAATAATGTTATTTTACATTTATACTTATTTCCTAGATGCTAATGTGAACTGTCGTCGGAAGGATCAGGACACGCCTCTTCACTCAGCAGCTGTTGCCGGGAACCCCGATATTGTCAAGAAATTGCTAGCCCACAATGCACGTATTGATGCCGTAAACAAAGATCATGCTACGGCCCTGCATCGTGCCTGTCAGTTCAACCGTTCACAAGTGGTCGAGTATCTGATCAAGAAGTAAATATTTTATTAATTTTACATTATAAAACCAAAATCATATAGATGACTAATCCAAATATTACTAATTTATTTCATAATTAATTATGGTCTCAATGGTGTATCATAGTCATGTGACATATTGCCTCAATTTTGGCATTTAGGATCAATTAAATTTATGCTTATTAATATAATCATAGCGAACCATTTATAATATGATATTAATGTGTCATCTGGATAAACTAAGGTGTTTGCTTCAGTCTGTCGTTCAGCATGTAAAACTTTGTTCACACTATGAAGTTTTATGTGACAGATAATGGTATTTGCCCATATATGGATGTGATGTGACATCATCATACCCATATATTGGCATATAACATATATTTGTCACATAAAACTTCTAGTGTGTACATAGCTTTAGTCACATAAGCACACTACTGTTGATTAGTGTGAACTTACAATCATTATATTTTAATAACTACAATAATCCAATATGCTGACTCTATCAGATCTCTGTCAGACTCAACATACTTTTTGGTCAGACATTGTCAAATAGCATGCTTATTCCAGACTTATCTGATGAAACAAAATCACGTCTTTCAGTGCCTGTTAAGGCCAACTCAAACAGCGTTGTATGACACAACCCGGTCACTGTGTGAGTTAAACGCTGATGCGATAGTCCTGTGTTGGGCACAGTCGTGATGTAAAATGTTTGATATTCTCACAACAACCTAAAGACTGTCCCTGGCAATAAATCGTGTTGGGGTGTGTCGTCGTACGCCACTGTCTGAGATGGCCTCTAGAGGTCTGACTATTCTCATCTTTATCAGACAAATCAAATATTTCTTGTTGGAAATCTGAATGAATTCTGATAGTGTAACCCTGGCTTATAGTTCTGTCCACACTTCACAAATACCAGGGGCAGATCCAGAATTTTTCAAATGGGGGAACGGGGAACAACAGTCTCAGAATAGGTAAGTGAATAGCACATAACTTTGATTTGCATTGAAAATTTTAAACTTTAATGGCAAAAAGGTGGGGGGAACATGTCCCCCATTCCCCCTACTGGATCCGCTCCTGAATACCTGTGATTTGTCCATATATGGGTGTGATGTGATGCCATCATCCCCATATATGGTCAAATCGCACTTCATATCGTTTTATTCATTATTGCCTTTTCTGCCGCTGTGTTTAGGAGAGCAAGAATTGAGCGCAAAGATAAGGATAACTTCACACCCTTACTAATAGCTGCATGCTATGGCCATGCCACTACCATTGAAATCCTTTTAAAATATAAAGCTAAAATAACTGCAACTGACAAACAGGAAAAGAGCGTGTTTTATTTAGCAGCTGAAGAGGAGCATTACGAGGCACTTCAGGTTGGTCATGTGATTAAACAGAAATCTTCAGAAGGAAATTTTTAAAATTATATTTTGCTCATATTATTTTATTAATTATAAATTGTACAATACATAGTTTTCTAATATTTGTAGAATATATGTTAACACAGTTCTTGCAGATTTAGAGACTTGTTATGAAATTTTATATAATTAAGTTGAATTAATTAAATTAATTTCGTTTTTCAAACAAAAATTTAATAAAACTTTAATTCATTTAATTAAAAAGTGAAATTTTTCTATTGCACAATTTTCTATAAATGTTCTAATGAAAATATTATCTGTGACAATTTTTGAGTTGGTAAACAAACAATTTAATTATTAACATTATATAGGGACTGCTTCAATTTGACTTCATGAACATAATTCCATAACTTAGCCATGATATATAATCTAATAGTAACCTGATTATTGTCATAAGTTTTACTAATATTTATCATTTTATTGTATGTTAAATTAATATAAGTTGTTACGATATAATAAAGTGAATGATGATAAACCAATTTATGAATTTCAATAATACAGGCGTTACTTAAGCACCCAAGGGCCAAAAGTCTACTGGAAGATAGTGATCGCTATGACAATGGCCCACTCCATATTGCTGCTAAATTTGGATACTTGCAAATTGTTAAGGTAATGCCATAATTCATTGATTATTTGTAATGAATATTGTCACTATGTTTGTATTTGTAACAGCAATAAGACTTCAGTAAGACTTGTGAAAGGCTTGTTCGAACCTTTTGCAGAAGTATAATTTATTAATATTTATTTTACATACAGTCTACAATCTAATGACAAAGTTTACGAATTATTGAAAGAGGTAGATTTTGAATTCAGAATGTGTCATTCCACTGCTGGACATATCCCCCTACAAATTCTCCCATCTTTCTCTGTCTTTGGCTACAGACATCCATCTGATAGTGTTTTCCTTTATGTCATCCATCCATCTTCTCTTTGGTCATCCCCTTTTCCTTTTTCCTTCTCTTGAATACCATTTTGTAACTTTCAGCGTCCATCTATTAATTGCCTCTTAATGATAGTAGATGTTAGCAAATTTTCTACAGTCCTGGAAATGTGGCTAACAGAATACTGTGGTAACAGGAGTGTTTTTTCTTTTACCAATTTTAGCTGCTTATTGAGAATGGAGCTGATATTGATGCTAAGAATGAGGAGGAACAAACACCAGCTCATTTAGCAGCCTTGTACGGTAAATACAGGTGAGTTCTACTTCATCTGCTCTGTTTGGACTCCATTGGGACCCCATTAAAACCCCAATAAAATGATTCCTTTTTCATTAAAAGTCACTGGCTTACAATAGCATGCTAGAGAGATGGGGCATTATAAATACTGTGTTATTATTAATAAAATATTATTAAGCAATTAGTAGAGCTCCGCATAGTACACTATAGGAAAATTATTATACGATGGTTAGATTTAGTGCTTGAAGGAAATTTTTGAATGCATTAAATCTAACCTAAGTATAATAATTTCCATTAGGTTACGATGCATGCTCTACTAATCGCTTTATAAGTCAATCACTGTCTTTTAATTTTAGTTTTTGATAACCAACTGTTGTAGCAGTCATCGGTTGCTTTAGTGATATGATCAGTATACAGTGTGCATATTTACATTTAGCTGTGTGTTTGCTGATTGTGCTCCCTGCAGTACATATCCTACACGTTAACTACACATCAGCAGGACACGGATAAGATGAATAACTATTGTAATTTGTACTGTGTTAGAATGAATTTGTTTGTAATGCTATTTTGATAGACATTTGTCAAAGAAATAAACATTTCAGCATTCGAGAGAGAATACAGTCACTGACATTTTTGGTTGGTGCATGCAGACAGGTAAACATCGTGCGATGATTTAAAAACTAGGCTAGGCTATGGCCTAATAGGAGGAGGCCTCGGCAGCCTCCTGCCTGGCCGTATAGGCCTACATCTAAATTTGTTCCTTGAGTCTTTAAAATAGGTAAAGAATATTCCTATTAAACATTCAGTTTGTTTTGTTTGTGAATGTCCACTGATTCAATGAATTCCCTAATTGTTCATACTTAATATTGAATTTGAAGTAACTTTATTCGGGTCCTAATTAAGCTTGTTTTACGAAAGTAATTTTCAATTACAGTTCAATTTTTATCGCGGTGCGCGATGTTTCTGTGAAAAATGAGAAATTTTTTTTTGCACACGAACCTAAAAAAAATCAATCCAAGGGTCCACAAATTTAAAAATTAGTGGACTATGATGTGATGACGTCACAATTGACTTATACTTATTATTATTATGCACCCATTGCATCTGTTGGAAGATGGTTCATTTCAGCCGGGCCCGTGTCGTAGAATGATGTGAAGCTACTGAGTGCTTCTCTATGGCTGCTACAGTAGTAACAGATCACGCCCATACGCAGTTCAGTCAATGACGCTACAAGTTATGTGTTACTCTCCTAACTTCTACTTCTACCTTCACTTATTGTTATTAATATTATTCTTATATTATATATTTCAATCTGCAGGACAGTAAAGGAACTTGTAAATCATGATCCAACAGTGGTTGATGATGAGGATGAGTATTCAAACACACCTCTGCATCTTGCATCCCAAGAGGGACATTTCAAAGTAGTGCAAGTCCTCATTGCTGCTGGTGCTGAAATTACTGCAAGGTAAAATTCTCCTTAAATGAATTTCTTTTTCTTGAGTAATTGTATACATTTATTCTTCTGTCTACACCAGATGCCTTTCAGACTTGTTTAATAAGGAACTTGAAAATACTTAACTATGAGTGTTTACAAGAAGACTTCGGCATTATGATTTCATATAATTTTGATTGTGTTCTTCCCAACTTTCCTCGATTCCGAGATCATCGTAGTTGATGCATCTGTGTCCGAAATGTATTGTTATTCATTTTTTCCTATTCACAAATGATGAAACTAATAATAGTGATGGAAACATGAGTATTTGCTGACTCTTTGGTATTATGTTCTTTTCTTTGTATTTTCTTATTGGTTGATGTTTTAATCTTCACTATTGTTAGGAACCAGAATCAGTGGACACCACTTGATTGTGCTGCTAGCAATGGCTGGAGAAAAACAGCAGAGGTCTTACTGGAAGCAGACTGTCCAGTAGATCCCATTGATAAAGCAAAGGTATGAAATTTTCATTCTATTGATTATTTTATGTAACATCTATTTATGTATTTGTATTTGTAATTCCTACAGAGTACCACAGTTGTGTCGTCACAACACCAGGTGGCGCCCTTTGTTGTCAACCAGACATTGGTTACCGTTCATTACGCCTAAATGACTTCATAGGCTTTCTGAAATAGGCATTTTAAAACCTAATATTTTACCATCAAAATGTACTAAAAACAAAAAAAGCTTGCATTATATTAGTTATCGAACACATTTAATCATCAATTAAAATTTACAAAGAAAAATTAAGTTAACATTTTAATAATTATGTTATAAGTTAGGATCAATGGTTTGTCAATTGAACGCATCCGGTTGAACACATTTTGTGTCGCCGATAGCAACAGAGTAGTATCACATGGTATCGTGACGTAACACTGTAGTACTCTATGGGTAGCTGAATAAAAAACAATTGTAATTGCCTTAGGCTGTGTGGTGTACATTCAAATATACAAACATCATGCTGCATATATATCTTTGTTTCCAAAATAAACTGATTACCTAGTTTATCTATCGTAAACCAGTCACTCACTGTGTCAAATAATGTATCACCGTTGGATGACAAACTCTGCTCCCTGTGAGTGTTCAACGATGCGACGCTGCCTGGTAATTGTGATCGTCATTAAAAATCGATCCATTGTGGGTGTTATGACAGACAATTTTTGGGTGTAGTGATTGTCTGGCTTAACTTCAAATTATGAGAATATATTCATTTGTAACTTTCAGTTATATGATTTGTTTTAGACGACACCGCTGCATTTAGCGTGTAAGAACGGCCACTTGGAAGTGGTTAAGCTTTTGTTGGAATGGAAAGCCAGTCTGTCATTGAAAGATATTGACAACAAGAACTGTTTGGACTTGGCCATTGAGAATTCTAAAAAGTAAGTCCCAAATTGTGTAAGCTATTCAGGCCTCAAAAAACCACCAGGTGTAATTAACACTGATTGGTGAACTACTTGAAAATTGAATCTGGCTTCATAAAATCTATATTAAATATTTTCTTTTTGCCAAACCAATAATGATAATGATTTTTAGCTTACTTTTGGGAGCCTTGATCAAGCAAAGATGCTAAGGTGCATTGACCTCTCCTGAAGATTGTTTGACAGCAGATGGATGGATGAATGGATTTATTCTGTGTAATCACCAAGAATAACTCACAAAAGTCTGAAGAAGTACTTATTTCCAGTGGGTCCTTCTGGTGGTGATTGGGCAGTACAACGGGAGACAAGCCCATTCTCTTTTCCAAAGAGTGTACTGCGTTATTTAACGTGCACATGGGCCATAATACCACACAGGGGCAATGGTTTAAACGTTTCATCCGAAAGACGGTGACCAGGGGCCAAGAGATCGCCACAATTTAGCGCAAACACAGTGGCTACCACCAGTTTAGCCGGCTGAACTAAGCTGCTGTTTAATATCTGGGGTCGATTGGTGGTTATTGTACACCATTTGTTGCAAGTTAACTAACATAATACAAACAGTATATCTCTGAAAGACATTCCACTAAACATACTGAATTATAAATTTTTAATCAAAAATGTCTTAATAGAAGAGTCACAAAATGTTACCTTTAATATGTAGACACAAAGAATTCGAAATGATGATGATGATGATGGTGATAATAATAATAATAATAATAATAATAATAATAATAAAATTAAAAATAAAAATAAATAAATAAAAATAAATAAATAAATAATAATATCTGTATTTAACTTAAAATAATAATAATAATAATAATAATAATGATAAGCATAATGCCAATGATAATAATAAGGAATGATGATGGCGATGATGATAATGACAATAATGATGATATGAATGAGATAAGGATAAGATAATGGTACAGTAATAGAAATGATAATAATATTAATAATAATAATATTTATTATTAATAATAAGAATATTTCAATTCAACTAAATCCAAATACACATTTATATTCTTTCCTTCATTAATACAAAACATACAGTAGAAATACAAAGTGAAACAGCAATCATAATAAAGTGAAACAGCAATCATAATATAATAATAGTAGTAGTAAGGTAATTTTTAATTTTTACTTCCATTACCTTTTGTTTTCCTGTTAACAAAACCGGAATCATTTTTTTTTTCATAATTTTAATGTCATTATAGTACTGTACTAATTTGTGATATCGTTTGAATAATAGTGGGATGGGTGCATTGAAATTTGAAAAGGATCCAGGTTAGAACAGAACAATAATATGATTAATTGTTTGCTTTGCTATTTAAATAGGTAGACACAATGTGTTATTAATTATCAAAAATATTTGGTTTGCTTTCACAGAGATGTTGCTATGGCAATTGTCACAGATGATAATTGGCGTGATGCCCTGCGAACAGAGCACAAGCATTCATATTTTAAATGGCGGACAACACCAATCCGTAAACTGATTCAAAGAATGCCCGACGTGGCAGAAGTTGTGTTCAGTAATTGCTCGATCACAAACGACTTGCCACCAGAACATCCCGATTTTCAAATTGATTTCGATTATGAGTTCCTGGATGACATGTTCTTCCACTGGGATGTGGATATATCTGGTGAGTAAATAAATGTCAGCAAACAAATTTATGGTTAAAATATTTTTAGTCTGATCTTTTTAAAGCTCTCAGAAGTTTTGCACCTGGGTAGGTAAATCTTACCTCTTAGGCTATCTCCATGCAGTATTTTATTTTAAGGTTCATGAAATGGTATCTTGAAACATATATAGAAAGCAGTTCTTCTCTTGAAATTCTCTGACATTTGACATAAACTCAGTTCCAAGATTCTTAAGGTTGAGATTTAAATTGTATTTTTTTAGTGGCCTATTAATCTAATTAAGTAATTATTGAGCAAAGGATGATATAATGATATTTATACAGGAGTAATCATAATGTAAATTAATAATAATTTCAAATAGTAATCATAATAATAATAGCAAAGATACTAGAAACACAAGATAGAGCATTCGCATAGCAAATATGAGGCGGAAATTCATCGTATATTTTATGTTCGTCCAGACGTATGTGGCGCCCTTCTCTTCTTATTCATGCAAGTTTATCTATACTTGGTCCAGACGTACAGGGCGCCCTTCTGTTGCTAAGTAGATCCAGCCGTACACAGCAACCTTCTTTTTCCGCTAATTATGGAAACTTTATTACCAGGCAGAGTCCGGTCATACGATTCTGAGCTTTTGTATCGGTCATTTTATTCTTTTGATTTATTTATAATTACTTGATTGTATCTTATGGATAATAGCAATGATTTCTACCGCCACAAAAGGAGGTTATGTATTCACAGTGATGTAAGTTTGGCAGAAGTTTGTTAGATCCAGCCGTACGCGGCGCCACATTGTTTGTATTCCCACCGTGCATTTCGGTGTAACAGTTTTTTTCTGTGGAGAACTCTATCTTGTGTTTCTAGTATCTTTGAGAATAGTAACTACAGTGATTGACATTGAGCCTGTTTCCCAGCTTCTCCAGACAATGCTTGCCATTGATTTTAGTTCTTTATACATCTTGATGCTTATTCGAAAGATTGATTTATTAATTAATTTATTGAATGATTATTGATTAATTTATTCATTCATTTATTTCCAGCACTTTCTGCAATTATTGAATTTAGTTGGTCAATTGATTGTATTTTGTCATATTTTTTTTGCCTTTGCCTCGCATTCTCAGGACATAGTATGTATGACATGATGGTTCTAAATGTTTATTAGATAGTTTGAATATCTTGTACATCTTAAATATTTCTGTTTGTTAGCCAAATACAGTACTATGTGAATTAGTTTATGTTTGTACATTGAATAAAATATTATGTGTGGTGTGTATATCCATTAGCATAAGCTACATAATCACTGTTCATCTATATTATACAGTAACACCTCCCAATTACGTACATACCCCTCTGTCCGAACAGAGATCGTAAATGAGAAAATTTGTAATTCAGAGAGTTAAAATTTTCATAGCATCTCAGTGTGGTGAGGGTAGGCCTAGGCCTATGCTACAAAGTACAGGGCTAGGTAGGCCTAAGGCTTGCCATGGGAGCAACATTTTGTCATGGAATATGACTTGGATTTTACTTTTTTTCTGCAACAAAATAATACTGTATAGAAGCCAAAATTACCTGTGCTCACTGTGAAGTATTCATTTAAAGCGATTTCCAAATGAAGACATGACTATATAACGGCCAAAAGGAGTGTTATTATTCTCTTCATAAAGGTTGCGAATCCATGCAAATAGCACCAGCAGTGAAAAAAAAAGTCAGATTTACTATACAGTATACCAGAACAAGAATGCATAAAGTGGTTTGTAGTAAAAAATGATCATTTGTAATGACATCGCCGCAAATTGGGTTCGTAAAATCAAGAGTTCGTAAATGGGGGGTTCGTAATTGGGAGACGTCACTGTGTGTATGTGTATAATATATGTGTGTGTGTGTATATATATATATATGTGTGTGTGTGTGTGTTAATCAGCTACATAATTATTGTGTATATATTGAGTATTTTTATAGTAGTCAAGTTCGTGCCTATTAGTTGAAATAGATAATTATTTGTTTTGATGGATCAACTTTTCCCCAGTTTAAATTGCAGTAGTTGTCTAATTTTTATTCCACTATTTATATTGTTTAGTTAAGTTTAACCCCTTACATATACTTATAATAGATAATATGATTTTGGTATATAATGCTATATAGAGGTAGTTCTAATGAGAATTTTATTAACCTACAGTATTACCCATGTTTGTGCAGGTTCTGGGTTGGGAGAATCTACTTCTGGGTTGACTGGTTTAGTGAGCTGTTCACTAAACCAGGCATCACATTGTAGTTTGCTGTGAATGACAATACCCATGGCCAGTTAACTGCATGGAGACCATTAATAATATAGTAGTAAAAACATGCAACCATTCTGAATATTGTCTGCAAGATTTTTGCAAGCTAGCAAAATTATGCTTTATACATCCATAACAATTGGTAATCCAAATAACAATTTAAAAAATTTATAAGCACTATCTGAAATGATTTGATTGATGTTGTTGCCATAGATACTGCTTCCTCTGACGGGACATCCCAGGATGATGATGGACCATACAAGGAGAATGGAAGGCTTCGCTACAGTGCTGTACCATACACATACAATGCAGAGGTGCTTAGGAAAAACCACCCTTTGAATTTGATGGTAAGTGGATAGGTACCGTATCTGAGTAAGAACACTGTACCCACGCACACAAATTAAATTAAGACATTGCTGGTAGTGATTGTGGTAAGCAACTGCCTGTGTCAACTACACATATGATTGACCAAGGGGAGGAAGGGATGGAACTTGGAGAAAGTAAATTATCCCTCCTTAAAACTGCCCAAAAATTATATTGAAATTTATAACCTATTGATTATCACAAAGTTGTATATTATTTATTTTCACTACTTGTAGGTTGTATCAAAGCGAACAAAACTTCTGGGACATCCACTTGTGTTGACGCTGCTGACCCACAAGTGGGATTGTTATGGACGTTACTTCTACTACCTCTCACTCTTGATATATATTGTGTTTCTCTTCTTCTTGACTGGTTACATTATCACCACCCCACCACCTTTCTACCACTTGAAACCTACCGACCAAAACTGTACTGACAAAACATATGATTGGTTGGGAAATGGTGAAAAAAGATGGGTAGAGGATAGCGATGACTGGCAGACGTTCCTCTTTGGCGAACTTGGTGATTGGATTATTGTGGGCCTAGCAGCATTTCATTTATTGAAAGAGGTGAATAAATCTAATTTTAATTATGTATTTTTTACATGCATCCACCTGTCACTATGTACATATGAATACATAAATACATATATAATAATTATTATTTAAACAAATATGGTTTATTTTATTTATATACATATTGTCATTGGAATTGATTGCCTCAAGATTGGTTTCCATTGGAATCACTCACCCTATCAGCGACAGTCGCCAACCAATCGACAATAGGTGAGCGATTCTATGGAAACCAAGCTATAGATGTCATTTCACAGATGATTCTGTTGTATTTAGATACTGAAAAACTTTATTCAACTCATCTATTTTTAGATAATACAACTTTGGCATCAGAAATTCCGCTATCTGACAATTAACAACTTAATTGAGTGGATAGTGTATATCCTTGCAGTTCTTTTGGTCGTACCGCTCAACGACTGTTTGTATGAGAATAACATCAATGTTAAATATGTAAGTTTCAATCTATTCATCACTTTATGAATATTCATTTACATTTTAGATCTGCATTTGAAAATTGTAACATAACATGTATTACTAACAATGGATAAGTTTTGAAACATCATAATAATATATGAAATAAAAGGATAAGGTATAAAAAATTGTTTAAAATCCTTAATCCACAAAGTTTGTTTAAAATCCTTGTTGGTTTTTAATTAATATATTTTCATATTTATAATACATATCTAAGAATCCATAAAGTTTTGGCTTTCATCTGGAAGCATGTGCTAGAAATAAGGCTTTCAGCTTCACCTATTTAGTCCTGTTCTTGGGCAAGCCACATTGTAACTTCACCCAAGAGTACAAAGATAAGCTTTTTAATTATTGTGACGTGACTGTAATAAACTGAACTTTGGCAACAAACTGGTGATTAGGTACAACTTTGAGTCGTGCGGTTGGAGGCAAAATAAGCACTTATTGCTTAAGTGCAACTAGTTGCCCTCAGTTGCCATGTTCTATTTTGTGTGACCTGAAACAACTGACAAATCATGTGATGGTAGTAACCCAATAGCTCGTGATATTTACAGTAGGAAGCAACAGAAGCACACTTTGCAACTAGTTCCACTTAAGCCGGGCACTCGCTGCCTCGTACGACAGTCGTACAACGTCGTACGACAAATCCAACTCTGCTCCCTGTAAGTGCCGCACAACGTGACACCGTCTGCTGATAGTCGGTGTCAGTCTGAACGTATTGTCATTAAAATTGAACCTTTGCGTGCTCGCCGTGGTGTTGCGTTCTCGATAGACTTGCATCAGCTGACGACCGTCGGGCCCAGTAAGTGCTCGGCTTTAAAAGCACAATCATGGGTGAAAGTCTATGTAGCACCAGCAACTAGTTGAGCTGAGCTAGATTGAGTCTAAATAGTAAACCTGGAGCTGAATACACAGCTGCAGCATTCAATCCCATCAAGTTATGATAAAATACTACTACAGTAGTATTGATCAACAACCCCTCCGCCCCTCCAGCCGTTTACGGGCCTGGCATTCTCTTTCAGGAGCTGATTAAGTGTTCTATAGATGTATAATTAACCCAGAAACATAATGCGAGGACAAAGAGAAGTTTGCTTTACATGTTATAATTATTGATATATTATTTTCATTATGTATATTCTATATTTAGGACTGGCAGTGGCAGTGTGGAGCAGTGGCCATCTTGCTAGCTTGGATCAACCTTATTCTGTTCATCCAAAAACTTCCAAGGCTTGGAATTTACGTTGTCATGTTTACAGGTAAACGTTTATATCCTACTACTATAGACCATTTTATCGGGTTTATTTTGAAACAGCACCGCCAACATCATCTCGCAACTAACTGGGAGTACTTCCAGCGGCCTAGCCTAGCCTGAGCAGAGTTAGAGTGTCAAATAGAGTGCAGCGCGCATACTAGTAACTACGTAGCGCGAAGTGCGTAGGCCTCTGGAAGTCCCCAGTAGTTGCCAGGTTATTTCAAATTTTGCAAAAATGGTCTATAGGAAAAGCTGTATTTCATTGTACATTTCTAGCAAACTTCATGAAAGAATATAATAAAACAAAAAAAAAAGATCTTAATGGCTTGTTTCGCTGATTCAGTTACCCAGTAAAAAGAAGATAAAGAAAACCAATTTTTTTTTTTTAATGTAGTCTTATGAAAAAATTATGTAACTATTTACAATGATAATGTGTGTTTTTTCAATGCTATTAAGGTAAATTTAATATATAATCATCATACTTTAATATCTTGTATTTTTTATTATTCATTCTTTCAGATGTACTGAAGACCTTCCTTCAATTTTCTTTTGTATTCCTTCTGTTCATTATTGCCTTCAGTCTCGGCTTTTACACTCTACTGATGAACCAGGTAATGTCCTCACAATTTGATAATCATATTCACTAATTCCAACACCCATATTACAGAAACCGAAAGGTCCGCTGATTAATCTCAGATAAGAAAGTATAATACATACTCCAAGTATTGAAATACACGCCATCGTGTTGGGATTCAATATTTCGACATTAATTATGTCATCATCAGGAATGATATTACAGAAGGCATCAATAAGAAGTTATTTTTATTGATACTTTTTTCAGGAACCCTTCAACACAGTGTGGTATGCATTTGTGAAAACATTTGTCATGATGATCGGCGAATTTGAGTTCGATACTACATTTCACAGCCAAAATTATCTGGACACCACCGCGGGGCAGACACCTGAAGAAGACTTTCTGACATCGTTGTACTACAAGCAAGCGACTTACGTTGTTTTCACGATATTTGCCGTCATCATGTCAATCATTCTCATGAATTTGCTTGTATGTTGGAATTTGGTATTTTTTGGGAGTGGTTGGTGAAATGGTTGTGGTTTGGCAAAGGTTGTAATCTTAGTAAAGCAGATTAATCCTTATAGTTGACATGTCTGGCCTTGAAATATTCTTATGTATTTCTTTGTGTGTATGTGTGTGTGTGTAGACGAAGTTTGTAAACAGAGAAACTTGAAAACTGTGCACATGTTGGTACTGAATTGATGACAGGCAATTAATACTGGCCATGTCCCCTATGCTAAGGCATATTTCCCCAACAACAGCACAAGTGGGCCATAGTAATCATGGCCTTCACATAAATCTGGTTGTATACCTTGTTTCTCAGTGGCGGATCCAGAAATTTGAAATAGAGGGGGCCTGGAGAGGGACTTTCACAAGTGGAGGGTCTATACTACATCAGCCCCACCATGGTTGGGGCTGAGGTAAGAACATTTATGATTATGGCACCTGTAGATGGCTGGAAATGGCACTACCAGACTCCAAATTTTAGTCGAATTTTCTTTTTTCTTAATTTAAAAAAAAATTTTGACAAATTTTAGTGGCGGCTGGGTCCCCCTTGAATCTGCCTATGTTTCTGCAGGGTCAATTTTAAAAAAATTGTTCGAGGATGGTGGGAAAAAATATTTCTAATTAACAAAATTGTTCTGCCCAAAGCATTTAGACAGAGAAAATATAGTTATGACAAATTTTTTTAAATGGTTGAGTGAGGTAAATAGTAAGAGAGGGCACCATAAGGCCCTCACTTAAGATCTATTATGTTGTTGTAAAGAACTTCATGATGTGATGAAACAGTTCAATAATTATGATTTATTTCTTTATTTTTTTACATTATCGATTTAAATCTTGTTTTAACTTAGGTTGGTCTTGCTGTTGATGATATAAAAGAAGTCCAAAACCAAGCCAAGTTGCAACGATTGGCAAAACAGGTAGCTAGCTACAATGAGATGTGACTCGAGAATAGAATGAATTTAAACTAATTATTGTCAATAAGTATTTAAAAACACAAATAATTTTAATGTGGGTCAGAGGGTCCGGAATTGGTCTGTTGGGCAGGAGTGCTCATCTCTGTGATCAGGTTCCACTGTGATACCATTTTTTTACTTTTTGTAATGAAAGAGCAAGTTTTGTTGAAGAGATAACTACTTTTATAATTTGATCACATGTGGTGGGCAGGCTGTTTTTTCACACCTCTGCCATATTATTATTATACTTTGTCTTGTACTTCAGCCGTGAATGGCACAGTAAATAAATGGCACATGCAATTGTATGTAAATATTTCAATCCTCTTACTCATGCTTCTAACTGTATGGCTGCCATTGGAGCAGATTTTGGAAATAAATTCATCATCATCATCTTCCGGTACTCTATTAATAGAGTATACTCATACAACAAACAAATGCACAACAAGAAATTACATCATAATAAACATCATACCACTATATACATAACTGTCAAGTTGCAACGCCTTTCTCTACCCACTTTTGCTTAATATATTTAATCTGATCTTTCCCAGGTTGATCTGGCTTTAGAAATAGAGGAAGCTTTGCCTCTTTTCTTCTGGCGTAAGTACTGTGTGAAGAAGCGCAGAATACGTCCAAATAAACATTATGGAAGAACATTGCTAAGCCGTTTTTTCTATGGTCTCCTTTCCTCGGAAGCGTCCATGCTGGAAGAAGCTATCAGCTCAACTCTAGCGTCAGAAAAGGTGAGTCACAAATAATAATGTGTTAACATTGTCAATAGACAATTATAGTTGTAGTTGTATGTAGATCCTTGACGTGACATGCGCATGCGTACATTTTTGTCTTGACATTTGGGTATGAGGGGCTGATCAGGAAAAGGGGCTTGTTTTCTTCCTAGTGTAGTTAGCATGTATGTTTGTGTTAATAATCCTACCTGTAGCATAGCATTATATGTCTATTCAAACTACTGTACTATATTATCTGTTTTTCCTGGCTTTTTTTTCCAGACTGTCTTAGAAGAGGTCCGTGACTCACAAGAGGGATTCAGTGAGGTAATAAACAACATCAAGTACCGTATGAAGCTGTTGAAATCCCAAAATGATCGTATTGAGGGCATGCTTTCAGCTCTACTAAAAAATGATGGCGTAGTGTGGGATGATGGAAATGATAATGCTGAAGAAGTCGGAGAGTAATTTTTTTTCTACCGAATCATTTTTTTTATTATCCAAATATATTTTAGAGTAAGAATGCAGAATCAAATTAACAAGATTTTATAAACGAACAAGGTAGCATAGATAAGTGTTCTTTTTGAAGTACTGTACATAGCATATGTTTTGCAGTTATGTAAAAAACATATATCCAGTTCAACTTTAGTAGAATTCAAAAAGAGGTCTTCTATAGTTTCTTTAGTATAGCAAACAGGTAAATCACTGAACTGAAATTTTAAATAATTGATCCTAGTGGTAATAAACTAATGAAAAACATAATAATAATGATGTTGGCTTGCATGGCCTATTATACAGTGGATGCAAGTTTATATTTATGTTTTACAAGAACCACAATGTTGTTTTTTCAAATTTTTTTAAATATTGAATGGTATTGTTCTGAAATGACCTGACCTCAGAAATCAATTTTGTAATCTTTTGAAGGATATGATCAATATATTTACCATAGTATATATAATTGTAACATTTTTTCGTTCAGAAATGATTTGAATATGGATGAAATTATATTTTATATTAGATTTTTTATGATCCAAACATATTTATTGTTATGATAAAAGCAGCTAGTCTTCACAATGCTTTTTATCAGTTTTTACTGTGTAATATAATTCATTTGATAAGGTACACATGTCGCACAGATGAATACATTACAGTATTTGTTATGCTATCATATTATTGTCTTGCTATCAAACTGTTGTATGCCCGTATATAGTCATGATGTGCCTATATATGGTCATGATGTGATGTCATCATTACCATATTTAGGCATGTCACATGTTTTTGTCATAAAATTTGATATTCAACAGGGCTTAAAGTTCTGTTCACACACATTTTATGTGACAAATACCTGGTATTTGTACCAATAGGGGTCAGAGCAAAACAGGAGATTAGGGTATAATGTGCTCACGGTCACACAATGTATTCACTACAAAATGTTACAGTGTAGCATGTATAGCGATTTTTTTTTAGAAACCAGGCTTTAGCTGTCCCTTTCTCATCAAGCATTCTTTTTTAAAAATTACAGTTTATATTCCCACCCTTCTGTACATAGATTAGGCCTATCATGCAATAGTATGTGATTTAGGTTTAGAAAAATGTTTTTATAAAAAATAGTTATCCTCGATATTTAGGTATTTCTCTATACAAAGTGGAATATAAAATAATATTTAAATCATGGACATATTATCCTTAAGAATCTTCCATTTATAATCTGTTTTGGAAGCTTTGAAAAGTAAAAACAATTGGTTAAATATGGACATTATATTGATTTTTAAATGTATTCAATCAACTGCCAATTGCAGTATACAGTAGTACCTGTATATTGGATTCCAAATTTAACATGGATATCATTTGTGTACTGTATACTGTATGCAGA